CAAGATAACAGTGTTGGTGATGCTCATGCTTTCAGTTCGTCAGTCATTAAAGGCAGTTGGCACGATGGTTTCCTACTTAGCCTAAAATGCTAGTAGGGCGCTGTATAGTGGGGAAATGGCGAAAGAACGGAGTGAAACGGTCAAAATCCTGCGAAGAAAAAGCCTCCGTTCTCAGTGACTTGTAAATCGATTTCGGACGAGTTTCCCGTAGGCATCTTACCAATCACCGCTACCGAAGATACGGCTGCATATGTGTACCCATGTATGCATGCAGCATCACGGCCGCTTCATACCAATCCCTTCGCTTCATAATTTGCTCAGCAAATGAATGAATACGAGCGTCAGGAACGGTCGTCCATTTGTGGGCGGGCATTTAGGACGTTTGATAGGGCCCTTATAAGGGCACCTTCCTCGGGGAAACCGCTATGCAGCGCCTGCCCAGGGTCGCGGAATTCTATCCTGCCAGGAGTATTGATCCTAGTCGTCTTGGGGGATTTATCGTGCCAACTGCCTTTAAGGTGGGCGCACCCCCAGAATGACTGCCAGAATGTGTGATCCTAGTTGCTTCAAATCTTGGCGGTCTGGCTTCTGATTTCATGATCTGCCTTAGTAATTAATTTCTCTGTTGCTTAATTGGAGGAGTGGTGGCATAATGACAAGTGGCGCGCTCACCACTCGCGCGGTCCTTTGTTGAAATCCCGTGTCGATTTCGCCCAGGCCAACCAAGCCTTTACCCTCCGGGACGGTAAATTAGTTCACGACTCGTTGGGGAGGACAAGAACACCGCACGTCGGCTAGCTCCCGCAAGTCATTGTATAGGCCACATCGCATTCAATAAGCCACTACGATTCTGAATGGAAGTAGAATGCGTGCCGCATCCCACAAAGGGATTGATCAACGGCGAAGACTTTCACTCCTTATCCTTCATTGTTTAGTTCACTGGTATGTTTTATACAACGGGCTGTGTCATTCATGGCCGAGTAGCACTGGAGAACCCCGCGATCTTCCACAATCTCATCGGAGTGGTTCATGATGATGCGAAAGTTTTACAGGAAAACTACATAGGTTAGTTCATTGTTAATTCATTGAAATTGCTAGAGTAGATATGACTAAAGTATTCTCATAGGGTCCTTGAAGCCGACGCCCGATAGTAAAGGCCCAGTTATACATCAGAAATAGATTAGTCGTGCTTGAACCCAACATTGATTCCACGCATTTTTTGTG